CCAGGGACCGGGAGCGGCACCGCACCAGGCGGGCCCACGGAGTGCGGGGGTCATCCAGGAGGAGCTGGGGGCGTTCTCCTGGGGCCCGGACCTGCGCAGTTCGGACCTGTGTGGAAGCGCAGAGGCTTTCAGGTCCCGGCAGAGACTCCACCTGCCGGTCCCTGAGGGGCGTGGAGGGAGACTCCAGCCTGAGGTGTGGGAGGGAGAGGACCGCGCCCTCCGGCAGGGCCTGCAGAACGCAGCTGGGAGGTGGGTCACGGAATCGGTGATTCCGGGAAAGGCCCAGAATGCAGAGAGAGACATGACTTCCCTTTCTTTCTTTAAACAGAACACGTGCGACAGCTGTAGGCTTTTCTTGTAGAAGCGCGTGAGTCCTGCGTAGCACCAGCTAGAACGCCAGAAGCAATCGAAACTGAAGGGTGAAAATCCAAGTATCACATTGAGACCCTTTGTTTTTAACTTCCAGCTACCGATAGTCTTTATAAACTCTCTCTGCAAACCCTCAACGCAGACGTCTTCCTAAAACAACGCCAGACCTCACCGCCGCCCAGCTCCCCGTCGCCGCCCGCCGCACCCTGCCTGTTCACATCCCGGGGCAGCTACAGCAGCATTGTCAACGGCAGCCCCGGCAGGTAGGCCCGCGGCCCCTGCCTGTGCCGCACTAAACCGGTGCTGCCCCCCGTAGGTGGGAATCCTCGGTGGCCGCAGACGGCCGTCCCTTCTCTCCTCTTCCCTCGGCGGGCTCAGCGCCCTCCCCGCGGCGCCGCCTTCCCACCCGTCACCCGTGTCCAAGGGGCACCAGGGTCACGCTCTAGGCCAGGAGCCAGGAGCACACTCAGCGAGGACTGCAGACCCACAGCAGCTGCGCTGTGGGCAAGGAAGTGGGTCTGCGGGTCGTTCCCTCTGACCTGTGGTGGGACCTGGAGGAGGTCGGAGCCGAGCACGGAGGGCTCCTCCAGGCAGTGACAGTGACCCCCCCTGGTGATGACACTCGAGCAGGGGCCACCTGTTCCTGCACACGCGGTGGCGCCCAGCCCGGCCCACGGCCACCCTGCCCGTGTGGGAAGAGGCGGGAGGCCCCGGGCCTGGTGGGCACTGGCCGCCGGGGCCCTGGCACGGGGGCTGCTCACCGCCCGCAGGCTCCGCTCTGTCCAGCTGCCCGGCATTCCCTCCAGGACGGGGCTGCCTCCTTTCCCGGCCCCTGCCTCTCTCCTGCACCTAGAATTTTACCTTTCTCCCACATTCCTTCCCCCTCCCACCCTCTCCTACACAGCCTCAGGCCGCAGAGCATTTCCTGAGGCCTGGCCAGGCCCTGTGGGTGGCCCAGGGCTGTCCCCGGCTCCCTCGCAGGCCCTGGGACACGGGCCCCGGGGGGCCTCCGTGGGGGGCATTGCCCACAAGGACTGAGCTGTTCTCTCCTTGCTTCTTCCCTCAAGCGACTCTAAAACAAAGCAGTCAAATGGAAGCAAACACAAACTGACAAAAGCAGCCTCGCTCCCAGGCAAAAATGGCAACCCCACTTTTGCTGCAGTCACGGCCGGGTACGACAAGAGCCCAGGTGAGTGGCTTGGCACTGGGAGACCGGGCACCGCTGGGCCTCGGGCCTGGTGGAGGTACCTGCGGCCTGGCTGCTTTGATTGATTCGGAGCCCATTGTTACAGGTGGGAACGGCTTTGCTAAGGTTTCTTCAAGCAAAACAGACTTTTCCAGCAGCCTTGGCGTGTCACACACTCCCGTTGACAGCGATGGCTCAGACAGGTACGTTTGGCCCTTCTTAGCAGGGGAAGGCAGGAGGGTTTCCCAGGCCAGTTTAGCATCTTCTATCGTATGTGTGCTTCGAGGCGTTTGCCCCTAGGCGACAAGCAGGTGTTTGTCGGAGGCAGTCAGGAGCCTCTCTGTTGGGTGGGGCAGAGCCCCGAGTGCTCGCTCCCACCTGGCTCCCTGACGGGAGGAGGGGCCGCGACGTGCTCCGGCCCGGCGGAGAGGGAGGCGGCCCTGTGTTCCGCCTTCTGAGCCTCCTCTGATCCTTCTCCGTCATCATGGCTGTTGTGAAGAGGACGTGATCCGATCATTAGAAGTAAAAGAACAAAAACGCACTCGAGAGGAAGGACATGGAACAAGTTCTAGGCAGTTTATTGTAAATTATTGGACAGGCCACTACTTTGACCCAGAGCAACCACAGTGGCCTGGAGGCATGCAGCGACTGCCTCGGTTCATTTTCCCAGATAAATAACGATGACAATAAGATTATAACTGTCGGTAAGTAGAGTCCCAGTTTTACCTGCTTGACACTAAAAGGAAATTAATCCTAGATTTGAAATAATTTTTTAATAAATCTTCCATTACCAAAAGGGAAACAAGGAAGAAACGCCTCTTTTCTCTGCATGACACTTCCTCTGAGCCAGGCCGTCAGCTCACGACAGGGTAGCCTGGGCTCTGAACTCCTCCGTGCCTCCCTCCTTTGTGTTATGGAAGGTGTCTCCAGGCCCCACTTCTTCCTGTAATACGTGAGCCCCCAGCTGAAGCGGCGCCTCCTGTGTGTGAAGCCGTGCGTGACGGATCTGTCTCCACTAACCATCACATTTGTGTGTGTTGCATTTTCCTCTTATCACGTTCAGCTCGGGTTTGTGGAGTCCCGTCAGCAACCCCAGCAGCCCTGACTTCACACCCCTCAATTCGTTCTCGGCCTTTGGAAACTCTTTTAACCTAACTGGTGGTGAGTGTTTAACACTAGACCCATGACTAATGAGCCTGTGGACAAGGACGGAGGGAGGATAAGGTCCACTTCCATGTGTGGAGGAAAGTGTGATGTTCATTTAGTGGACATTTTTAGAGGATGCGTTTCCCTGTATCAGTGCAGTCAGGCGGCAGCAGATGGGCCGACTTCAGGGAAGTGGGTCTGTCCGTGCTCTCCTGGACGGGGTCTGGCACAGCCGCCCAGGTGTGAGGAGGCCCAGCGAGAGGCCCTCAGAAGGGTCCCCTGTCCGCTCGGCACCCCAGCCTGTAGGTGCGGTGGTCTGCTCGATGCTCTGCGGGTCCCAGCTGGCTCGTGTTGCGCAGAACTGACTTAAGAGCTGCAAGAAAGGATTCTGCATCTGAGATGCGACTCCTGGCCATGCTGGGGCTCTTTATTTTTCTTGCTGTCCAGAATTAGGGGCACCCATGTGAATTTCACATTAGCTGTGATCGTGATGTTTGCACTTGACCGTCCGGTGGTAGGTGTGGGTGAGGTATTCAGACCGCGTGCTGGGGTCTGGAGAACAGCCCCCCGCACCCTGTTTTCCCCGAATGTGGTGGGAGCTGATGGAGGGGGTGGGATGGCTCCAGGTGAGCAGCGGTGGGATGCGGAGCCCTGAGGGGACACCCCACCTGCCCGGGGGAGCACGGCCAGATCCAGCACAGATTTGCCTTTGCTTCCTCACCTCCAGAAGTTTTCAGCAAGCTCGGGTTATCGCGGTCGTGCAGTCAGGCCTCACAGAGGAGCTGGAACGAGCTGAGCAGTGGCCCCTCATACCTCTGGGACTCTCCAGCGACCGAGCCCAGCCCTTCTTGGCCAGCCAGTTCCAGTTCCCCGACCCACACGGCCACAGTGAGTACTGGGCTTGGGCCCCGCCCGCTCACACGTCATCACTGCTGTCGCTCGCTGTCCCTTGGGTGGTGCTGACAGATATAAATGACCAACAGCAGCTCGGAAGGCGTGGGTTAGCGCTTTCACCATCTCTGCTGCTGTGTCTTCATTTCTGCCAAAGTGACCATCACTCTTCAGATCCGTGACGGTCAAGAAGTTAGTTACAGGAGGAACAGCTGAGCAGCTGGGGGTTGACGTCTGAATCCTCTCACTTCAGCCTCTCCCGACTGAGTTAGACCGCGGGGTGGCTGGTGGCCCGTCTCAGGTCCCACCACCTCCAGAGTCAGACGGTGCCAGAGCTCGGCATCTGCCTGCTCCCGAGAAGCCACCCGTGTCTTGGCTTGAGCTTTTCTAGAGTGCATCTTGTTGCTTCTCAGCTAAATTGCCCTGCAGAGATCATGCTCCAAAATAGTGTTCTTAGGAAGGAAAATGATTAGTAGTTTCGGCTTTTACAAAATCGTAACAGACCAATATGACCCCACCGTGATTACTTCCTCATCCTCAGGAAAACTAATTAGATGTGCACGGTTTAATGGTAGATATTTTAGCTTCGTAGATTCCAAAGTTTGTCTTCACTTGTAATCATTCTGTCCTCAGTTTTACAGTCATCTTAACCATTCTTTAAAATGGGGTTAGTCACGGGGAGGGGGAGGGGGAAGCTGGGACAAAGTGAGAGAGTGGCAGGGACATATATACACTACCAGCTGTAAAATGGATGGCTAGTGGGAAGCAGCCGCATAGCACAGGGAGATCAGCTCGGTGCTTTGTGACCACCTAGAGGGGTGGGATAGGGAGGGTGGGAGGGGAGACGCAAGAGGGAGGGGATATGGGGATATATGTATACGTATAGCTGATTCACTTTGTTATACAGCAGAAACTAACACACCATTGTAAAGCAATTATACTCCAATAAAGATGTTAAGAAGAAAAAAAAAAAACAAACGGGGTCGGTACCTGTTGAGACTTCGTAGGCCATTATTTCTGGTGCAGCCTGTCCAGCTCCACCCTGGGTGCACAGGTGGCAGGGCCGGCTCCTAAGCACACCGGTGAAGCCGCGTCCCCCGCCCCAACTTCAGCCGCAGAAGCAGGCGGCTGGACTCAGCCCCCTGGCTGTGGCTTGCCTCCCCTTCTTTAAAACATCAGAACCGTGCACCCAGACTCTGAGGTGGCTTCACGTATAAAACATTTGTTTTAAAATAACTAAAATGAAAGAACCGTGCAGTCTAGCCCATTCTTAGCATAACCATCGCCGCTTTAACCACCTGCCTGCCTCCCTCGAGCCTGACGCTCCCCGTTGTGTGTTTTGTTTCGTCAGCCGATCCTGGGCAACACCAGCAGCCTGTGGTCCTCCACTCCGTTCAGCAGCTCGATCTGGTCCAGCAGCCTGCATAGCACCCTCCCCTTCACCAGCCCTGCCAACGCGCTGCCGAGCATCGGCCTCATGGGCCCCGAAAGCCCCTCCGCTCCTCACACACCCTCCACCGCCAGCCCCGCCGACGACCTGGGCCAGACCTACAACCCGTGGCGGATATGGAGCCCCACCATCGGAAGGAGGAGCTCCGACCCCTGGTCTAATTCACACTTCCCTCATGAGAATTGAAATTAGGCAAAAAGAAAAAAGTGGGGGCCCCTCGTCTAGATCATGATATGCCCATTTTCGAGACATCTTTTTAAAGGCTCGCTCTTAACTGCTGGAGCTTCCCAATCCCCACCCTCATCTTTGCAAAACAGACTCAAGCAGGGCAGGCTTGTACCACTCGCTTCTTTCAGATCTTTCTTGCAATTATGATAATATGAGATTTGCCGTTGTGCTTTTAGAGAAAAGTTTGGACTCAGCCACAAACTCTGATAAGACCTGTACATCTGAAAACCTTAACTGTTACCAAGTTTCCACCACTTCTTCCATTCTTTATTTATCTGTATGAACACAAATTTGACATTACAGCTAAGGAAATAACTTGAGTTGATTCAGAAGTCCTGGCATGTGACAACTTTATTAAATTACCAAGTTTGGTTTTTAATAATTTCACAATATTATGCGCCAAGATCTAATTTTAAAAACGTATGAGGACTTTGTGCTGAAAAATAGAGTATTTTTTTAAAATAAGGCTGTCTCGGTTTAAAAGCAGATTACAGAAATGTAAGTCAACTTTAAGAACAGTGAATGAATGTAAAAACATTCGGTTGAGACCATACGCATTTTCTGTGCTGTTTGTACTTGAGGTATGTAACATTTGTATACCTGAATTTATTTTAAAGATAAACTGAAATGCACATAGCCAAGTCTTGAGATACAAGATTGAATGTGTATTTCTTAAAAATACAACTTTGTGTTGTACTTTGAAATAAATGATGCTTTTTTCAAAAGCCTTGAATTGTTGTGTCTTTTTTTTTTTTTTTTTTTTACACACAAGATGCATGTATTTAAATTCTCTCACACCAAAGTGAGCCATTCTGTCATTGCCTTATCCTGTGGAGTTGGACTTACCGTGGCTAGAAGCACTGTGGTCTAATTAAATTCTGATTATTTCCGTAGTATTCCCTAAAGGCCCTTGATAGGGACTTCCCTGGTGGCAGAGTGGTTAAGAATCCACCTGCCAATGCAGGGGACACGGGTTCGAGCCCTAGTCCAGGAAGATCCCACATGCCGCGGAGCAACTAAGCCCGTGCGCCACAACTACTGAGCCCACGTGCCACAACTACTGAAGCCCACGCGCCTAGAGCCCGTGCTCCACAACAAGAGAAGCCACCGCAATGAGAAGCCCACGCACTGCAACAAAGAGGAGCCCCCGCTCGCCGCAACTAGAGAAAGCCCGCACACAGCAACAAAGACCCAATGCAGCCAAAAACAAATAAATTTATATTTAAAAAAAAAAAGGCCCTTGATAGAAAAAAGTTCACACATCTTAAAAGCAGCATGTTGACCCTTTTCCAATTTCAAAACTCCCACAGCTCCTCCAAGTGGTGCCTGTAGAGACCATACAGATACCAGGCAATTCCGTGGGCAGTTTGGTTTAATCTCTCAGGAAGTGTTGCCTGCTCCAGCTGCCTTTACTCATCCTTTTTCCAATCTATAAAGCCAGTCTTTGCTGGGTAACCAGAGACGCCAAACATAAATGTTCTGTTTGAGGTCAATTACACGATGAAGAAATCCACCCGTCCAGCTCAGATGGTTTAGTTGAAGCATCGTACAGAGAGATTTTAAGTCTGACCTTTTCTCTGCTTTGCAGCAAAGCTCAGCAGAACCAGCCCCATCGCTTTCCCAGCCTATGCTGTGCCTGAGACTTGGGACACCAGCTTCCCGTCCACTCAGAGCTCCGGCGCGTCAGCCTCATGGCAGACCTGGGCCTTGTACAGTCTCACTAGCCAGGGCTCCTGTGTGCAGTTGCAAAATCGAGACATAAATTTAAGGCTTTGGATTTCCTTTGTACACCAAAGCAGTTCATAAGGTGACAAAGCCACTGAACAGCTGAGCTTCATATAAACCCTCATTTACAAAATAAAAGATTTTGTTGGCGGACTTTACCTCAGTCAGATGATCGCAGGGATCCTAAACTTGCTCCTTTGGAAGAATCACCTGAAACTCCCAGACGCCTTCCTACTTTCACCCCACAGGACCCTCATCTGCACGCTTGAGAAACACCATACACCTGGAAAAGGGAAAAAAAAATACAAACAGGTTTCTGCTGTTACCTGGGTTTTCCAGATAACTCTTAGGGCAGGTATTTGAGAGGCAACATACTCACCAACAAAACCTGAAACTTTGATGGGATTCAGCCTAACAATTTCCAGTGAAAAACTGGTTAGCACAATAGTTTGCTTTGCACTAGGCCAAGGTTGAATTTAAAAGCTATATATATAGCTTTAAAAGATATCCATTATTTTATTTAAATACAACGTGTATAAAAATATATATTATAAATTTTTATACCTTTATAAATAGTATTTATATTACATTACTACAATTCATGAAGACAATATGCTAACAAAATTTCAGTGTCCAGATAACTTTAAAACCTTAGACCTAAATTAATCTTTAAATATTTGTTACAGTTTTTGAAAAGAAAAAACGTACAAAAAGAATTTTAATTTACCCTTATTTCTTAAAATATCAGTTGAGTAACAAAATATGCAAATGATTTTGGATGATAATATATTTTTGCCATCTCAAAATTTTAAAGTAATATGAGTACTCATAAGATATTTGACAGTTTTTACACTTCTGTCTAGAAGTCTCACGTCTAAAGAAAAAAGGACAAGTTGATTACTGTTGTAAGTCATAATTAACACAGTTATACTGGGTACAGTAATTGCAGACACATTCGGGTTATACGCACAGGATAATTTTGGGTGGGCCAAAAAGTGCCTTCGGTTTTTAAGTAAAAATAAAAGACATTTTTCATTTCACCAAGAACTTTATTAAACAACGTATTCACCCTTTTGTTCTACTACCTTCTGCCATTTTTCAGGCAACTTCATAATTCCATCTTCCCAAAACTTTTTATCTTTTTGAGCAAAGAACTGTTCCAGGTGCCTTTCACAGTCTTCCAGGGAACTGAAATTTTTTCCATTAAGAGAATTCTGTAAAGACCGAAATAAATGGAAATACAAAGGTGCAATGTCTGGTGAATATGGCGGAAGAATCAGAACTTCCCAGACGAGCTGCAACAGTTTTTGCCTGGTCATCAAAGAAACATGTGGTCTTGCGTTATCCTGACGGAAGATTATGCATTTTCTGTTGACTAATTCTGGACACTTTTCATCGAGTGCCGCTTTCAGTTGGTCTAATGGGAGTGGTGGTTTTCCAGAAGGAGTTCATAATAGAGGACTCCCTTCCAACCTCACCATATACACAACATCACTTTCTTTGGATGAAGACCGGCCTTTGGTGTGGTGGGTGGTTTTTCATTTCACTTGCCCCACGATCTCTTCCATTCCACATTGTTGTACAGTATCCACTTTTCATCACCCGTCACAATTTGTTTCAAAAACAGTATTTTCATTACATTTAAGTAGTGAATCACATGTAGAAATACGGTCAAGAAGGTTTCTTTCACTTAACTTATGTGGAAGCCAAACATCAAAGCGATTAACATAACCAAGCTGGTGCAAATGATTTTCACTGCTTGATTTGGATATTTTGAGTATGCTGGCTATCTCCCGCGTGGTATAATGTTGATTGTTTTCAATTAATGCCTCGGTGTGATTGCTATCAACTTCAACTGGTCTACCCGACCGTGGAGCATCATCCAGCGAGAAATCTCCGGCACAAAACTCCACAAACCACTTTTCACACATTCAGTCATTCACAGCACCTTCTCCATACACTGCAGAAATCTTTTTTTGTGTTTCAGTTGCATTTTTACCTTTCTTGAAATAATAACGCATAATATGCTGAAAATGTTGTTTTTCTTCCATCTTCAATATTAAAATAGCTACACAAAAATTCACCAATTTTGATGTCTTGTTTTAAATGCACACTGATGTGACAGCTGTCACATACAATCTAACAAAATTGTTTCGAATGAAGTTAAAGACAACTAAGTGCTACTGGAGGCATCTTATGGAAAAAACCAAACAAACCTTTTAACCAACCCAATATTTTCTTCATTTCCTTTTTGGCTTGTTCATTGTCATTGTGTAGAAATACAACAAAGTTTTGTGTGTTAATCTGTATCCTGCAAGTTTGCTGAACTGGTTTATTATCTCTCAAAGGTGTGTGTATTTGTGTGTGTGTGTGTGTGTGTGTGTGTGTTTCCAATTTGGAAACTTTCATTTCTTTTTCTTGCCTAATTTATCTGGCTATAAGTCCTGTCCAATGTAGAATAAAAGTGGCAAGAGTATACATCATTGTCTTGATACTGATATTAGGAGGAAAGTTTTCAGTATTTATTTAGGCTGCGCCAGGTCTTAGTTGCGGCACATGGGATCTTCATTGTGGCATGCAGGGGGTGGGATCAAACCTGGGCCCCCTGTACTGGGAGCATGGAGTCTTACCCACTGGACCACCAGGGAAGTCCCAGGTTTCAGTCTTAAACCATTAAGTATGATGTGAACTGTGGATTTTTCATAGATGCTCTTTGTCAGAGGAAGTTCCTTTCTACTCATAGTTTGTTGAATGTTTCTATCATGAAAGGTGCTGGATTTTTGCCAAATGCTTTTCATCTATTAAAATGATCATGTGGATTTCTTTATTCTGTTGATGTGGTGTATTACACTGATAGATTTTGTATGTTGAATCAACCTTGCATCCCTGGAATATATCTCACTTGGTCATGATGTATAATCCTTTTAATATACTCCTGGATTGGTTTGCTATGTTTTTTGTTTGTCTGTTTGTTTTTTGAGGATTTTTGAACCTATATTAATAAGGGATATTGGTCTACAGTTTTCTTGTGATGTCTTTGGCTTTGGTTTCAGGGTAATAGTGGTCTCAAAGAATGAGTTAAGTATGCTTTCCTCTTTTTTGAAAGTTTTAAAAGAATGTGTTAGTTTTTAACAAATGGGAGCTAATTAAACCTAAAAGCTTTTGCACAGCAAAGGAAACCATAAACAAGACAAAAAGACAACCCTCAGAATGGGAGAAAATATTTGCAAACG